GGATATATATATATATGTGTGTATATATATATATGTTTTTGTATGTATATATAGAATATGCTGTATACCTATATATATATATATATATGTATAATAATAATAATATAGTGATAAGATAGCGATACAAAAATATCGTTCTAATTATATATGGAGGGGTTCCAGATTGAGAGGTTGTGGTGTTGTGGCCGGGTTGCAAGAACCACCATGCAGAAGAGGATCCACAATCGCCACAGCTGCTGAATCCTCGGATCCCGACGCAAATCATCAGTCGTCGTGCCCAAACACGGAAACCGCAGTATCCGCAGATTGGTGGTTTCACAGCCCAAAAACGACCCCGATGAAGTGTCTCCGTGAGATCGCATCCATGTACTTGAGTCATAGAGAGCCAGGGATGTGATGAGTCAAAGTGGATCCCCGATGAGGTCCCCCGATGAAGTCTCCGCTATTGGTGCAGCCTGTGTCATGGTCTATAGAGAGCCACAGATATTGATGAGTCAAACTGGATCCCCGATGAGGTCCCGATGAAGTGTCCAGGTCCTGTTTTGAAGCCTCCCGGAAGCCCGAAATTAATGTATGCTGATAATCATAGCGACATTATACTGGGATCTGGATACGCAACCCAATCTAGATCCTACTGTGCTGGCTCGTGCTAATCTAAAGACTAGAAACTTGCAATAGTCGAGGCTCCTGCTCCGGAAGTTTTTGTATATATGCACCTAATGTACTCCCATGCAATTATGGCACCGAATGGATGTGGATACGCAGCTGATTGTAGATCCCACCGTGGTCTAGGCTTTGTCAATCTAAAGACTAGAAACTTACTTCCTGTCAAGGCTTCTGCAACCAAAGCCTATTGGATCTGGATACGCAGTGCTTTCTAGATCCGATCCGTGTGGTGGTTGGGTATCTAAAGACTAGAGACTTATAGCCCCCAAGTGGATCTAGATACGCAAACGATGCTAGATCCGATCCATATGTGGGTTTTTGTGAATGTAAAGACTAGAAACTTATATATACCCAAGCTTCTTAATTCATATCTTATATAAGAATATATAGCAGTAATAGTAATGGAAGCTCTTAAAATTCTTTTGCCTAGTGGATCTAGATACGCAGCGGTTTCTGGATCCGATCCGTGTTGTGGGTTTTATGAATCTAAAATTTAGAAACTTACTATACCCCTAAGCTTACATTCCTGCGATGTCTTCTATGCTACGAGTATATACCTGTGCATGCGAAATCGTGCGATTCGTGATGGCTCGATCGAACCTATGCAGCCGCTGAGCTGCTCGGCATTTTGCCGATTATATATAGAAGTAGCTCGGAAAGTTTCAGAGATTTTGATCCTGCAGACAACATGTCTGCAGTAGATTATGCGGATACTCAGCAATGCACATCCGAGGGATTGGCCGGGGGAGAACCTGTTCCTGCGACCCCGGAAGCCTTTGAGGCCACGCAGGTCACTTCTCCCCTTCCCGCTGCGACTCCTGAGACCCCCTCCACAACCTCGAAGCCGAATGCTAAAGATGCCCCAGAAGCCCATGCTGCCGAGCCACCCGTGCCGAAGGATGATGGTGTCAAGTTGACAGCTGCAGCTCTGCAGGATGCCAGGTCCAACTGAGGTTACGGATGAAATGATCCACACTTCTGAGTTGGGCCCAGTCCACTGGGCCACGCAGAAGACAAACCTGTGGGCCCGGGGGCCGGCGAGCCAAGCGATGCAGAGAGCACTGAAGCATCGGCCGGACGTGAAAGAACTTTACCAGGTACTACTTGATTCGGAAAAAACAGCTTTTCGTGCTGCTTGGACATGCTCGAGAGATTTCGCCTTCACATCCTCGAAAAGGACGACATCTAATGTTTTCCGAAAGAGGAAGGAAAACGTTGGGGTTTTCAAAACCCAACTCCAGTTGGAGGCCATCTTGGGAGGCAGCAACCAGCCGGAAGCTGTGATGCAGGCGAAGAACTACATCAGTATGTGTCTGCGAAACGATCTGAAGGCTGGGCTTCCACAAAGGGTTGGGTTTTCTTGCAAGCCACTTAGACAACTTATAATGCCTTTGCAATAATCCTGGCCAAAAACCCAACCTCCTAAAGAACCTAAACCCTGAAACCTAGACCCCTTCAGCCCTAAATCTGCCTTTTCCCAAAACTTATATGCCCTTATACGGCTTTAATTTCAAAAACCCTTCAGCAACCCTTCAGCCCTAAACCTGCGGTGCTCCCAGAACCTAAACCTTAAAAAGCCTGGACCCCCTTCAGCCCCAAAATCCAATACAACACACTCCGCTGCAGGAGTATTGCTACATGTTCAACGACTAGCTGAAAGCCCCCACCTACCTCCGGGTGGAGTCGCTGGTGTCTACGATGTCGGAGACCACCTGGAAAAATGAAGTCACTGTGGAGGTGCAGGACGAGCCGATCGTTGGATCTTGGGCCTACAAAGCCCAATTCTGCAAAGCTGCGAGATGCTATGCGGTCGAGAAGGGCCTGTATGCCAAGGATGTAACAAGAGAAATGATCGAGGCGACCGACCTGGGGGTCCGGGGTTATGCTGAACTCTACGCTTCGACGCCGGCCGCCTTGCCGCAGCCGGGTGGAGATGGGTCCGCCAGCAAGAACTCCTCCGCCCCGAAGCCAGGAGGACCGACGCCGGCACCGGCACCGGCACCTAAAGCAAAGGGCAAAGCGGGCAAGACGGAGAAGGCTAATCTGGAGGCTATGGTCGGCCAAGGCAAGGTTGAGGGTATTGATGAAACCGGTCAGCCGGAGCCGAGTAAGAAGCCAAGGAAGGGCGGTGGCGGTGGCAATGTCACCAGCAAGAAAGAGCGGGAACTCAAAGAGTTCTTGGCCTTGGAAGCTCAGAGTGATAATTGCATGACGGCGATTGCAGCTGATATGAGTGCCAACCCGGCTGCCTGGAGCTGGGCAAAGGACTTTGTACAGCAGTATAAGTCCCTTAGGCCAGAGATCGTGAAGTTGTATGCAGACACTGAGTTTTTCAAGGAGGCCAAGGTAGCTGCTTTGTCCGCTAAAGAAACCAGCCGCCTGCGCAAGGCTTATGGCATTGATTATCATTCGAAGCTGTGCGAATGGTGCTTGCAACTCGGGCCTAAAATTACGGCCATGAGTGAATGTACTACCAAGAATCGACAGATGGCTGATGCTCAAGCTACCGCTGTGGCTGGAACCCCTTCCAAGCCTTCAAAGGCCTCGACTCGGAAACCGAAGCGACTGGCCTCGCAAGCATCGCTATCCGCATAGGAGGATCGACGTCCTCCGTTCGTGGGTTTTGTGCAGTGCTGCAGGAAGGGTCCTTGAAGTGTAGCCAGCCCTTGCATGTATCGATCTTGGTATGTACAAATAGACTGCAGTACTTATAGATCCGAATCCTAGAAAGGTTCGTTACTTAGAGATTAGAGGCCCTTCAATTTGATCATACACCCGATAAAACCCTAAAGCCCTAAACCCCCAAACCCTAAACCTTAAATCCCAGACGAACTTGAAATCCAGGTTTGGTGCAGCTAGAACTCCTGTCCCAGATCCCGGGAACCTTCCTGATTGCACTGCTTTGTCTATGGGGAATGTGCTCAGGGCACTTGGAGTGGGATTTGCTGGTAACACACAAGGCCCACAGAGAGCCTGATGCGGAACCATTCCGCAGTTGAAATCGCCTGCAAACACCATGGGGTTTCTCTGAGGCAGAGCAAGTAGACAACGTTGCAGTTTGACAAGCAGTTGCTGACGCCTATCATATACTCCTTCAGCAGTGCTGCTGGAGTATTGATACCAATTAATGATGTCCAGGTGGACCTGCCCGATCGGAAGCCTGACGTGTAGGATGTGTCCTGGGTGCACAATGTTGAACTGAATATCACTGGCCTTGACGTGTTTCGTTGCTATCATCACCAACAGTCCTGCCGAACGGTCTTCTTTTTGTGTACCATGGCGGTGTATGTAGTGATAATCACGTATGCTCCAATTGGCATCAAAAGACCATTTGGTCTGCTGTACCAGTATGAGATCGTACTGATGGAGGCGCACCGCGCATAGGTCTGCAGTTCCTGGTAGACCTGTGTCGTAAGACCACCTGAGTTCCAGGTCAGAACCTTCCATGCGTCCGGTCCCGGCTGATCCCAGACAGGGGTCTTAGGCACGTACTGAGGCGGTACATGACGAGGCTGGAACCACGTATGGGGACGCCATCGTCCGCGAAAGTGTGCTCCGCCTTCTCTGCAGGACCGCGCATACGCCCTAGCATATGATCGTTTACCACTTCTCGAGAGTATAATCTCAGCTTCGGGCGGCAAAGCCCTCCGAGAGCTGACTGGCTTCGCCGACAGGGAAGACCCGTCGACTCCAGACATCGCGCCAGCAGAGATGTCAACCCTCGCGTCTGTGTGCACCGAATCGCAGCGAACTATGTTATCCGCGGAAAGCAGAAAAAGCAAAATGGCAATGCAACGTCGCCTGTGCACACCATCGGACTTGGGACCGATGCAGCTGAAGCCGGAGATTTCAGGGCAGAAGCGAGCACCTGATGAGCAAACTTTGGCAAGTCGCTCCAACGCAAGGTCATGAGAAAAGCGATGAGAACCAGTGTCTGTTGTGGATACCGTCGTCCCCGAGGAGACCGCCGGAGAGGAGCATAGACTGGGACCTAAATGTAAATGCCGGTGACATACGCAGCAGTTTAGGCATTCTGAGACAGGACGCCGCACACGTAAGGGTTAAGCTTAGCACCGATCAAGTCCAGAGTGGGCATGTAGAGTACCTGGCCAGCCATGTGCTGAGCGATAAGCATGCCAAGGTGGAGCAAATCAAGCAGGTGAAAGTGAATAGGAGGACACCCTGCACATTCGCATACTCAAAGCAATGGTCATTTTCGCTCGGCGGCCACTACAGGCATGGGAAGTTTCCGCCGTGTCTCGGCAGAGAAACGATCAGAGCCCTAGCACTCCTGGCTTGGGAACCAGCCTGTGCATCCCTAGGCCGTGCTATCACTACGTCGTCGCCTGAGCGCGGTGGAGACACATGTTGCAGAGAGAGCATCCCACCCTGGTCCCCTAATGCACATGCAGAGTCCCATGCTGTCGTGCCTTGAGTCAAATGAGGTGCCCACTTGCGGTTGGCCTTAGGTCGTGGTTTGGCCTCTGCAGCACCAGGGCGAGATCCAGAGACCCCCGTGCTAGGGTGGGCCGTCGAAGAGGAAGCTGAGCCAGTAGAGCCAGTGCCCATGCCGTCGGTGCCGTGGGTGTCATAGTCGTGGATCGTCTCCCCGACCCCCGCCGTAGGCCCGTAGGCGCCTCGTCGGTCGCCGCCAACGTCATAGTCGAGGCTGTTGTCAACGCTGATGCCAAGGCAGTCGGAGGTCACGGGGTGGGCAGAAGTATGGGAGAGGAATTGGGCATCGGAAGCATCGGAAGCTGCTGCACCTGCCAGGAATTCAGGAGGCGTGCTTGGAGCCGCCCTTGGTCCTGGCACCGGACCAAGCATCACCAGGACCTCATCGCCCCGTGTTAAGACAGAGGCCAGCCGGCCAGCCTGTACGCCTCCGCTGGTATCATACAGGTCCTGCCTTCGATGTCCATAGTACTAGTCAGGGCGGACGTCAGTGCAGTCTCCTCAGCAGCCGCGGCAACATGCGCGTGGCGCCCGTTGCGGTCCTCACCCGTAGGCTCGTCCTCATTATCACCACTCGGCCCACCAGAGTCACTGAAGTGAAGTGTGTTCGGGTGCCTGGCCGTCTCATCTCCCAAGAAGGAGATATCTATGCGAAGGCTGTCCCCAATCATCCTCCAGTCTCCTTGAAAAAGGGTCAAGGCCCGCTGAACCTCAAAGCCTTGCTGCATCATCACCCCGGCTACTGCCGATGAGACTTGCTGGCTGATAGGACGCCAGCTCTGCACAGCGACCGGTGGAGGAGGGCCGGCCGGTAGCCGGGTCCCTCCTGGCGTGCACGGGGCCGGTGGGGCAATGGCCCCATCATCAAACTCTGCAGACTCGATCATATAATCGTCGGTGTCAGACGAAGCCGCCGTAGCCACCGATGTCGTTCCCCGCGGCCCCGGCCCGGAGTCCTCTCTTGCCTCGTGCATGCCCGGGTCGCGACAACTACACCTGCCAGGCGCGCCGTAGCTGCTCTGCCCTTGAGGCCGCGATAGCCAAATGAGGAACGTCTCAAAACAAGACTGACATGACAGGCCGACAGAGCAGAATTGAAGCAGGGTCTCGGTAAGCAGCCGTGGGCACGCGATCGGAAGATGTGTCCATGTGCTTCTCATCCATGCCCTGTGCAGTAGCCGTTTACCACAGCACTTCCGTCTGAGGCGTCGGCGGCGCCTCTGAGCCCGAGCCGCAAAGCGCAAGCGCCATCTACGACAGGTTTTGCCTATGCAGCACCGGGCCACCTTGCCGCTAGTCCATGGCCTGCAGATCAAACCGGCCCTGGGGTTTCGGAAAATGGTGTGGCCAGAAGTGAAAAACCCAGGCTGGATAATGCAGACGGCACCAGCAGAAGAGGTCATATTCAAGGGGCGGGTACGGTGAAGCCCTTGCCACCTGTAGCATACGCCCCGGGTATTGATTGGAAGTCCCAGTCCTGAAAGAACTCATGGTTGCCAAGGTAACCTCCGTAGTCTGCTGCCACTCGCAGCATACTTTGACCCAAAACCATTTGAAAATGGATCCTTGCAGCCGGCCGTGCGAAGAGCTCCCTCGCGTAAGTGCATGATTCGCCGACTGTGATTTTGTTATGGTTCGGAATCCAGTCACAACAGGCAGGGCGATGGTCCGTAGGTCCCAGCTCAATGCCCAACCATTCACACATAGCAGGCTAAGATAGCACAGCCACTTCATAAAGCACCAGCCCGAAGCGTCAGTCCAAAGCTCACTCAATACGCAATCGCCTTCTCAAAGTTCGAACCACAGTCGCTACGCCAGACCAGAGCCGGAAATTGCTCAAATAAATCGTGAACACGGCTAGTTTGGCCGTTCGCAGTGGTCTGCGATCGCTAACTGTCCTAGGCCTTCGCCCTCACAGCCGAGACGCTTGTCGCGGTCGTGGTAGTAGTAGTAGTAGTAGTAGTAGTAGTAGTAGTAGTAGTAGTAGTAGTAGTAGTAGTAGTAGTAGTAGTAGTAGTAGTAGTAGTCGTAGTCGTAGTAGTAGTAGTAGCAGTAGCGAAGCAGCAGTACAAATAAAGATCGCGGTTCGGTTCAGTTTGCAGATTTAGGTTCGTGCGTTGGTTCATGGTTCGCGCGGTTCATTGCGGTTCGGTTCATCGCGATTCGGTTCGGTTCGATTCGATTCCACGGACTTCCTGAAATTCATAGCAAAAATTTAAAATCTAGAATCTAGGTATGATTAGATGCTTCGGATTCCAACGGTAGGACAAGAATATAGAACCATGAAAAAATTGTTGAGACCTCTCAAAATTAAAAACTTTCAAATTCAAAAATTCTAGAGATTTAATAGAATCGGGAAAAATTTTTGTCAAAATTTATTTTTGAATTAATTTTCTTAACACATGATTTCCGAAGTAATTTTCATCCGAATATTTTATTTGTCTATATTTTTTCATACGGCACAAAAATTAAGTTATCTCAAATTCCTCATATAATTAATAATATCAGTTATATTTAACTTTGATTTGGTATTTTCAGTTTTGCTTCTTCTTTGTTTGTAATTTCATTAATTTCTTTATATTTCATTTATTATTTATTCAATATTTTCTTATACTATTTTGAATCTAAATAGCATACTTTTTATTATTTGGATAAAATCTAATTTTTTTAATGAGATTATCTTTCGGTTGCCGAAAGATTAAGATTCTATCGGCTTCCTCTCCTTCGAAATAAGCCTTAGTAATAGTAATATCGGCGCTATCCATCAATATTTTTCTAAAAGACGCGACATTAAAAACTAGGTTCTACGTTTCTATATCAGCAGTCGGAGAGTCCGATCTAATATCACGCTTTCGAGGCCGCCTCTAGTAACCAGTTGGCTTTTATTCTTGACCTTTATATCCGGCTGGGATCCTCTCAAGGCATCATTCTTGTCAGTATCAACCTACTTGAGAAGTACTTCCTCGTGACCTTCTGCTATTAGCTCACGATACCATTTTTCGTCGAAATCTATAGCCGCATTGAACCACTTCCGCTTTTCCCACTCGAAAAGTCTTTTCGAGATCCACCGATTCCTTTCTGCAACTCACGTGAACACTTTTGGTAAGTGAACAGTATCCCTTGCTCAGCTTTGTTTTTGTTACTTTAAGCGCGCCGTCTCTTCAGCCACGTCATAGCTTCCGGTACTTCCATCCAGATAGCTCTGAAGTCGTCATAGCCCTTTCTGCCGTACCTAGGCATATCACCAAATTGTGAGAGCAGCGACTGCTCTGCTGGGCTGAGAGACTCGTCCTGAGATTCAGGTACGGATATAGCTGCAGCATTATCAAGGAGATCTGTTGGGTAAAGCAGAACTCCAGCATCCTCGGACTCTGATTCTTCCATAGTAGGCTTTTCCTCAACGGGCTCTGCCCGTGACTCTTCACGGTAACAAACCAAATCACCTGCGGCATATTTGCCCGGTGATGATCCAGAATTCATCATAATGGCGGCTCTCGCTCGCCTTGATGTGACCTGATGGATACAGGCTTTTCTTGCAGTGTGCCTATACTCTACATTTCGTCCCAACTCGTCTTCGTCAATATAGAATACACCAAAACCGTTAAGCCATGAGCGTGCGCGCTACACTTTTACTCAGAGGGCTTGAGAGGTAGTCGACGGTATATGATACACAACATGATGACTGTACACGACCATACAAACTCCTGCGCAAGCTGCGATGCAAAACTACACCCCCCTCACCTAAAGGCACGGTCACTGCATTCAAAAATACAGAATACCTTCGCCTGCAGGTGGAAGAGCGCTTCGGCTCGGAGTTCGACGATCGGCGTGGAGTTGCCTCCCGCGTCATCAGATTGTTTCAGTAAAAGTACATGTGACTACCAAGTGCCTCGAGGAAGGGTGCGAAAACTGCATGCAAGCTTTTCTTCAAATGCAAGACGCTGGTTTCAGCGTGGAGCAAGGGCAATAGGAGTTCTCCGCGCAGCCACTTGAAAAATATCACAGGCCGGGTGAACATCCCTCTTGCTCGAAAGAATCGGACTATTGGGTCGGCATATTAGTACCAACGCCATCCACGATTGCGCCACTCACGCCAGTCCTGGTTGTCCCAGTTCTGACCGCGCCATGATCCCCAGGATGACGACGACCAACTCTGCCACCAGGATTGATCATCCCAGTCCCAGTCGCGGGTTGTGCCGGTTGGCGGCCTCGGCGTTAGCCGGGCTTTTGCCTTTTTCCTTTGCTTCCGATGCACGGGCATAAGTTGAGCCCTTGCCACCACCTGGCGGATGCTGCTGGGCGTACTTCGGCTGGGCAGCGCGGCTCTGTTCGGCCTTCTTGATGGTCTCCTCAACAGTCTCCACCATGTAGTTAAGGTCCTTGGCCAAAATGGTCTGTAGGTCAGTACCCACTGCGCCAGGGTCATTGTTGAGAAGGTCCACCTTGCCATGACCAAAAGTCTGTAGGCGAACTCCTTCCTTCTGCTTGGCGATGTTGAAGGCAAAATCCTGAAAGGAAAGAATGGCTCCGTACCACGTGAACGCTACTGGCGTATCCTCCGGCGTGGACGTTAGTCCCGCTGCGCACAACTTTCCACCAATGCCATCGTCTCCGGTAAAGAAAACGATACGGCACTCGGGGACCGCGTCCGTGCGGGTCTCGTGCGTAGTCGACGCAGTCCTGGAGGATCCAATAGCCAGCATTCGTTGTGATCGAGAGCGGCCAGGGTTCGGCAAGTAGGCGTAGCAGAGGCAGTCGAGGACACGAATCGTTCTGCGTGTGTATCCCTCTTTTGCCATAGAGATCGCGTATTCATTGTCCTGATTGAACCTCGCTACGCAGTCAGTAAAGCCCTTCTTCACGGCTCGCTGCTTTGCGACCTTGGCCTTCCGAATAACCTCGCCTTCTAGGGAGTTCATGCCACGACCGGCGACATCTTTCGATGCGCTTTGAAGGTCCGGCTTTGCTCCCACTCGCTCTGCAGCATCGCCCATCTCCTGAAGCAGAGCCTCACGCCCACGTGCCAACAGCGTCCTTCTGCCCTGTGCCTTCAGTTGGCCTGGTCGGACTGGCCCTCCACACTGGGAGCAGATCCTTTGACCTTGAAGACACTCAGCTTTGCAGTGGTAGCACTTAATCTTATCCAAGAACGCGGCGTTTGGCTTGGCCTCACTTCCAGCATAAAGCATTGGTTCTGGCCTTCCCACCGGCTCCTGGACTGCTTCAACAGGTACACCCTCAGCGTTCAGTGTAACCTTTGTCGCAATTCCATCACCAATGTACATGGTTCGAATCGGCAGGCCCGGCTGGGCAATGATGGTTCCTGGTTCAACAAGCGGCCTCTCCTCTACGGAGGGCATTTGCTCATCACCAGGGACTTCCGCATCATCAGCTTCTGCAGGGGCATCTGTGATTGCCAATGAACCTTCAAGTACCTCAGCAACATCAGGAATAGGCGAAGGGTGTCAGATTCTTCATCAATAGGCGGTGCGAAATTGTCCTGAATCGTCTCCTCGGCCTCGGGCTCATCAATAACCATAGTGACGTCGGCCTCAGCGTTAGCTGGGCTTTCACCTTGTTCCGCCTCATCAGGGGGGACAGTGCCTCCCGTGCGAGACCAAAGGGTGACGTCTCGTTGCGTGTCATTGATGAACAAAATGGTCGAACCAGGTACCGCCTCAGAAGCAGGCCATCGGACTCGGTAAGAAACAAGTCGCAGCCAGCTTCGAGGACTTCCCGGGCGTCGAAGACGATTTCAATCGGAGCACTTGCACGAAGTCCTGAGCGTACCTTCTGCTCTTCGAGCGGCAGCGGCGCAAAGTAACAATGCGCTTTTTCAGAACCTCCAAAGCCAGGCAACAAACGATCTTCCAGAATTGCGAACGCCGCATCATGGGTCGTTCGATGGTAAAGTCTGGGAGGCGCCTTGTCCATCGGGATCAACGGCCTGCCCTCTCGGGCGGCATCAACCATC